CTCCTTCCCCTGTTTGTTTGTGTTTTCATAGGTTTCTCTAAGGGATTGATACATTTCCTCTTTGGGGACCTCTATCACATCCATAGAGGCTGGCTTAAGGTCTTTGTCTTGTGCTTCAGCCGTGTTCCAGTTCTCAGGGCCTACTGTTGTAGGATCCTGGGCTATAGGGGAGACGCATAGTCATGGCTGTTTTTGATTGTGTTTTTGTGCTGGCATCTAAGCATCTTGGCTTATGATTATTGTAATTCAAGGTGCTGATAACTGGTCTTGCCTTTGTTGGGTGGATGTTTGTTCCTTGGTTTCTGTTGACCTCTCTGGTTCTTAGTAGGGTATGGTGGCTCTGTGCATCCTGTTAAAGAATTCTTCTTGGGTCATGCTAGGTGTGGCCAGTGGGGCTTGAGGTAAAATGTTTTTCCAAGTATTGTGAAAAGACATGTCTCTCTGTCTCTCTCTGTCTCTATATCTCTCTCATACAAACGTATGTATGCACATATGCATGCATTTTCAAATGAAGAAGGCATTCGATAGTTTGTCTTCCTCTGTCTGGCTAATTTCACTTCCCATAATGCACTCTAGTTGCATTTCTTCTCTTCCCAAATGTTATCATTTGTGTCCTTACGATTGACTACAACCTCACAGTATATGTAACACCTTTGGTTCATCCATTCATCAGCTGATGGACATCTAGATTGAGTCCAGACCTTGCTTGTGGTGAATAATTCAAAACATATAAGGACTAGCAGGTGTCTCTAGTATGCTGACTTAAATTCTGTAGTGTGTATGCCTGGAACTTATGCTAGGCCCATTTTCAGATTTCTGAGGAACAGCCACACTGAGGGCCACAGTAGATGTGTCACTAGCAGGACTGAAAGGCTGCTCTTCTTTGGTGTCCTCACCAGCACTGTTGGTGTCTAATTTCTTGATGACAGCCATTCTTATTAGGGTGGGTGCAATCTTTCTGTAGTGTGTATTTTAATGAAATACATGCATATGGATGGTCTGTGAGTAGGCGTGCACTGCCAGTGGGGGCCAGTGTGGGTGCTGGGACCCACACCTCTGTTCTGCAAGAGCAGTATGCACTTCAGCCACTGAGCCATCTCTCCAAGCCCTAGTTTTCTAAATCAACTACTTTGTATCTTTTGATTGGAAAGTTAAGCCGATTTATAATCACGGTCATCGTTGAGACATAATCACTCACTCCAATAATTTCCTGTCACCTCTTGATTGATTCGACACTATTTGTTCTTCTTTAAAGCTTGACTCATTTTGAGGGGGTCCTGACTTGCTGAGTTGAACACGTTTGGCTCTTTCCTTTTTCTCATTTGTTCATATTTCTTCTCCCGACATTTATTATCTTCTGAGCTCTTGTGTCTGTGGTTGTCTTGCTTCTCTTTGTATGCAGTTCCTTTAAGTATCCTTTGGATGTTGGCTAAAGGGTTATGAACTGTTTTAGGATGTGGTTATCTTAGAATGCCTTTATTTCTCCATCTTTCTGTGAAAGCTAACTTTTCTGGATGTAGTAACTCTGTTGCCAGTTATTTATTTGCAGGTCTTTCAATGTAACATTCTAAACAGGCACAGTGACACATAACCTATAGTTCCAGCATTTGGACATCCTGTTACATAACTATTGGCTGTCAACCAGGGATATATTGAGAACCGAGTTCAAAAAACACATATATGCATATACTAAATTGCACAAATGCATATATAAAGTGTGAGAGTAAACACATAATCATATAGATCATGTATGTACATGTGTATGTATATTTATGCATATGAGCCCATGCTTTTCTGAATTTTAGTGTTTAATAAAAAATATGATGTTACTCTGATGAGTTTGCTTTTGTGAATTAGTGATTTTGCTCTCAAATTGTTTCTTTGTTCTAAGCTGTGGCATTTTGACTAGAATGTAACTTGGAAAAGTTCTATCCTAGGCATATTTATTTGAGATTCTAAATGTCTCTTGCATTTTCATATCAACATTTTGTCCTATATTTGGTGGATGTCCTGCTATAATTTCATTGCATAGTTGTCTGTGTATTCAGGGTTCTATCTCAGCTCCCTCCTCCCTTCCATGGAAGCTAATGCTTGCTCTGTTGAATGTGCCCATGAATTCTTGAGCCATGGGGCCAGGATCATTGTTTTTTTTTCTTTATTGGCATCTACATGAAGCATTTCCTTGACATTGTCTTCAATCCTCACTTTCTCATACAGTGTGTTGGCCTTGGGCTCTGCAGTTAATCCTCAGGTGACAGGTTTGCTTCCTCACAGTGGGTAAAAAGCCACTGACAACCACACCATTCAAAACATGGTTCCCCAATGATTGAATTTTTCAGTGAGTACATGACTAAGTCTCTTATCCACAATTGCCTGTCCTTGTGTCCCTTGGTGGGAAGGTGTTTCCAGGTCCTTTGTTTCAGGTCACCATAGTAGCTGAGTTGTAAACAAGCTGCCATCTTAAGATGATGCCTAGCTCCATCACTCTGAGGGGTGTGTGTGTGTGTGTGTGTGTGTGTGTGTGTGTGTGTGTGTGTGTGTGGGGGTG